TCTTATAGTACCCAGTCATGCTGACATTTTTGTTTTGTTTTTTTCCTGATGATCTTTCTTTAAAGATGTATCTTCTGTCTCTCTAGCCATTCCAGGCTGGTCAGCTTGTCCTTGCTAGTGGGAATGTCCCACCTCAGAAGGTTCTGGATGGGGCTCAGGATTCCACCTAAGGTCCTATACTCTGCAAAGGCTCCACAAGAGGCCTATTTCAGTGGGCAAATTCTAGAATCCCTTTTAGGTATTCCAATCAGTTATAGGCTGAAGACAGACTTACAAGCTTTCTGTAATCATGTTTCCCGAATTTCCTTTCTATCCCACTCAAGTGTCTATTTTACAATAATAGGCAAGGGAAACTAATATTCACAAGACAGTCAAGCATCATAGTATAATTTCTCCTTTTCAAACTATCCCTAGATCTCTTTATCACAGAGCCCTGTTGTTCTAAGTTTGAGCATGCATCACTGTTTACCTCTGTCCCACTTAGGCCTGCAAATCTGTCTCAGTGTTCCCCTATCTATCTTGTTCTTCTATCTCTTCCCCCTTCTTGTATTGCCCTCATGAACACCCAGACTACCCCCCTACACACACATCCTAACCCCACCGTTGTGGTTACCTTATATTCCATTAACTTTTCCCTCCATTTAAGGCAGTATATTTTATCCTGTAATCTACCTGACCTTCTCACCACCTGGATCTCTATTCCTCTATGTTTACCTTCTTTCACATTGTAATTGTTTGGTCATAGACTGACCTCTATTCTTATTATTTAATTCTGTTCTTGACCCTTCCATTTGTAAATTGAGTTCAGGGTGATGCTGTCACACATGCCAATCTCTAGTTGTTGTCAGTTCTTGTTGGTTCTCAGTCCACAGAACCTACTTTAGGATGTGGATGTTTTTCATCGCAGGGTTGGCTTTGGCAAAATCCCTTAGCTGCTGTTTATCCTGAAATGTTAAGATTACACCATAATATTTGATTGACAGCTTTCCTGGGTAGAGGATTCTTGGTTGGAAGTTTTTTTTTTT